AGTGTATTTTTTTATCACAAAGCAGCTTGTTAGGACATTTCTAGAGATATTTACTTAAATTATGTAAATTCCAGATATTCAAAATTTTCCATGAAAATCAACTTTTCTGTGAGAGCATCAAAGAGATAATTAAAAATTGTTTGTCAACAAAACTCCCGAAAGTTAAATACTAATTACTATGTAAATCTAAATTAGGCGACAAAGTATAATTCACGGTTTTAAAACCACATTTATGTTTCTGTAGCTAATAAACAAACAGCACGGGGTCTTCATTAGGTTTTTAGAAAGGTTAATAAACCGCACATTAATTGACACTGTAATATTTTCGACCTTTCCCAATTAACTTTAGACTGTAGCTTGAGCGCAGGTAATGGCTGTGCTCCTTTCCAACAATAATAATTATTATTATCGTATTGGAATATCAGTTTGATATTAATCCATCATCATGTGATAAAAATTTAAAAAAACTGATTGTGTGTTACTAAAAATAAATTTGTTGTCACAATTGCAAATTTTATTGTGTGTAAATTAATCGGCGAAATTGAAACTCATCAGACTATAATTTGTCAACTATTTAAATATGAAAGAGGAAAGCAGTGAAGCATGACGACACAGAAAAGATTTAACTACTGATACCGATTGAAACAATCCGGTGAAGAAAATAAAAGTAAAAAAAAAACATTTGTGGTTTCTCTTTCAGATTTAATGCTCAAAGCCATTCGATTTCTTTATTAGTTTAATGAGGAAATGGCAATCTTGTAGATGACTCGATTAAATCCGAGAAATTGTTGAGGACAAACTGGACTTTGAGGCTTAGTAGTGGAATAAAAAAATCAGTTTGATGTTGTTGATCCATGTTTGGTTCTCACAAAAGTCTTTGACAATTTGCAAAAAGGGGCAAACCACCTAGGAATTATTTGCCAAAAATGTGGGGAGTTTATGGGGAATTTGAAGGAACTCATCAAAATTTATGAGAATTTGGGGAATATATAGGGAATTCGGAAAAATTTATGGGGAATTTGAAGGAATTTATGAGGAATTTAAAGAAAATTGTAGAGTCATGATATCACTGAGCTTTACATTCTCATTATAAGAAGCACTAATAAATGGAAATTTTTTTAAAAAAAATCTAGTTTTGTGTTGAGCGTTTGACATTCATTTTCATTAAAGAAATTCTCCCCAAATTAGACTCTATGATTTACAGGTCCAAATTTAAAAAATGCAGAACAATAATGTTTTTGTAGGCTGATTTCCAAAATTCTTCATGTGTTGAGTATTTTCCACTGGAAAAATTTGAAATTTTGGGAAAATGAGCTTCTAACCTTCTTCTTCACATGTGAAAAGTTTCAAACTTTTCCGTTCACCAGTTTTCCAGGAAAACTTCCAAATGTGTGAGAGTCTATTTTTAATTAATTCCTTTCACTAGTTTTCCAGGAAAACTTTGAAATGTGTGAGACGGTATTTTCAACTAATTCAGTTTTTGTAAGTTGATTTCCAAGATTCTTCATGTTGTTATTTGCCACTGGAAAAATTTGAAATTTTGAGAAAATGAGCTTCTCACCTTCCTCTTCACATGCAAAAAGTTTCAAAATTTTCCCTTTACTAGTTTTCTAAGAAAACTTCGAATTGTGTGACAGTATTTTTAATTAACTCAATTAAGTATTGTAGGTTGATTTCCAAGATTCTTCCTGTTGTTATTTTCTACTGGAAAAATTTAAAATATTGAGAAAATGAGCTTCTCGCCTTCCTCTTCACATGCAAAAAGTTTAAAAATTTTCCCTTCACTAGTTTTCCAGGAAAACTTTGAATTGTGTTAGACTGTATTAACAATTATTTCAATTTTTGTAAGTTGATTTCTATGATTTTTCATGTTGTTACTTTCCAATGGAAAAATTTGAAATTATGGGAAAATGAGTCTCTAACCTTCCTCTTCACATACAAAAAAATCAAAATTTTTCCGTTCACTAATTTTCCAGGAAAACTTTGAAATGTGTGAGATAGTATTCTCAACCAATTCAGTTTTTATAGGTTGATTTCCAAGATTCTTCATGTTGTTATTTTCCACTGCAAAAATTTGAAATTTTGGGAAAATGAGCTTCTCATCTTCCTTTTTACATGCAAAAAGTTTCAAAATTTTTCCTTCACTAGTTTTCCAGCAAAACTTTGACATGTGTGGGACTGTATTTTCAACTTATTCAGTTTTTGTAGGTTGATTTCCAAGAAGCTTCATGTTGCTGTTTTCCACTGGAAAAATTTGAAATTTTGGGAAAATGAGCTTCTCATCTTCCTCTTTACATGCAAAAAGTTACAAAGTTTTCCCTTCACTAGTTTTCCAGGAAAACTTTGAATTGTGTGAGACAGTATTTTTTATTAATTCAGTTATTGTAGGTTGATTTCTAAGATTCTTCATGTTGTTATTTTCCACTGCAAAAATTTGAAATTTTGGGAAAATGAGCTTCTCACCTTCCTCTTTACATGCAAAAAGTTTCAAAATTTTTCCTTCACTAGTTTTCCAGGAAAACTGAAATGTGTGAGACTGTATTTCCAACTTATGCAGTTTTTGTAGGTTGATTTCCAAGATTCATGTTGCTGTTTTCCACTGGAAAAATTTGAAATTTTGGGAAAATGAGCTTCTCATCTTCCTCTTTACATGCAAAAAGTTTCAAAATTTTCAATGCCGTTCATGCTTGTTCCAAGATAAATCGGTAACTTAGCTGAGTATTTGCAAAAATTGAAATTTTTAAAATAAAAGCTTTCATGTGTATCATCACCCTACAGGCTTGTGATTAGAGATACCTTTAGGCTGCCTCTTAATTTCTGTAGTATGATGATATGGAGTTTAAGATAGTTTATCAACATTGTTCTTTATAAATGTCCAAATCTAACAATCATTATGATCCATGTTTCAGTATCTGTTTTAGGCGAGGTAATTGTCACTTGCGATTCTTTGAGATGGAAAATTTCCATTTGAGGCGATTTTGTTGTAACTCCATAGATCTCCATGGAGATCATTTGGATTTCCATGGATCTTCGTATATCTCCTCCTCAGCACCAGTTAAAATGATGTGCGCATACAAATTACGCTTTTCCGATTCCACACAACTGCAGCCGAGTTCTTGGATCTCCATGCATTTCCACCGGATCTTCATGTATCTCCAGTGGATCTCTATGTATCTCTGAAGGATATCCATGTAATTTCACAGATATCCATGGATTTCCACTCATCTCCACAAGTCTCCACAGTGGCTACATCCTCGGTTTTAGGTAGATGTTTTGCTGAATTTTTCCGTACCGAGGTCTAAATGGTGACTCTTTCTCCTTCAGATGATGTAGTCACAGTTTATATGTCTATTTTCTTAAGTACATCCTCCATTACCAATGTGAAAGTTTTTGGTGATATCACATCTTCTTGTCTAATTTCTTTCCTGATTGGGATGGGATTTGTGTTCTCCTCCAGCTGTTCTGTCAATGTGAGTTTTCTGGAGACGTTATGATAAACTGTTTGCATCTTCAGTCAATTTAAAAGTTGTTCATTGCTCTCTCTATGGCCCAGTGCTAAATGCTATCAAATATCTTTTCAAACTCCATGTGAGGTAGAGAGGAGGATGGTGCTTGTAGGGTTTTGGATTTGTCTATAAGTTTCTTAAGGTAAGGAGTAAGAAGTACCAGAAGTACCAAGAGCATGGCCTAACCAAACATCAGCTTGTATATAGCTCCTTGAATATAAAAAAAATCCAACTATATTGCCTGCATTAAAACGGAAGTAAACCTTCCATCATTTTCTTTTATTAAAATCAATAATTCAACAAAAAAAAAATATATGAGGTTTCGAACACTAAGTAAGTACCTTGGAATTGTTATTGGCAAGTACCTTAAATGGGACCCACATACTACATACCTAACTCAAAAATTAAAATACCTAATTTACAAATTTTATACGATAAAACAAATGCTTGGTACAAGTATCTCAATAACCTTGTATCATAGTTTGGTCGAGTCAATTTTAATATATGGAATACTGGTCTGGGGTAGTATGTATAATAACTCATTGAGACCTCTTCAGGTCATACAAAAGAGCATATTGAAAATTATTTTTAAAAAAGAATTCCTATATCCAACTCGTCTATTATACAATAATAAAATCATAAATTTAAGAACATTGTATTGTTATCCAGTATGCTGCTATGTACATAAACACGAGGAAATCAAACACTGTGAATCATGAATATTTAACCAGAATAATTGTTAACAAGCAATTAGCTATTCCAAGATGTCATAGTGAGTTTTCTAAGAAATCTGTTAAATATTTAGGACCTAAAGTCTACAATTTGTTACCAAACGATATTAAAGGAGTGAACATGAAAGTTTTTCCTAATTTAGCAAAATGTTTTATAGTGGAAGGAATGGATGAATTTGTTAAGGTACTGCAAGGAAGGGTTGTTAATGCTTACCATTGTCATTGTCAGAAGAGGATTTGAGAAAAAAAAAAACAGAACACTTTTTTTCGATTCCTTCGATGATAACCTGAATCTTGCCCATACATCTAGGGGTATATTATTGTTAAAATAATTATTGAATTTATATTGTATATTATGTGTAACTGTTCATGAATTGTTGAAATAAATACAAATACGAATATTCAAAATAATAATTAAATGTGGAGGCATCTACGAGGTAGTAGTTTTAGATGTTAGTAAGCAGAGTCGCCCCATAAAGAGCAGAACCATGACCCTATTATTCTATTTCTCTGGTATTTCCTCTTGAGGAGAAAGGTTGAAAAGGCTTAGATTTCCTAAGACTAAAAAATGTACCTGTGAATTAAAAGCAATATAGCTCATTTCATCCAGCTCTCTAATAAAGCAAAAAGCTTCAAAAACATCTTTCATATGATGAGATGGCGCATTGACAGGTCTACTCTATACTATGGGATTGACTTTTCCTTTTTACTTTAGTTAGTGTTGAACATTGAATCATTTTCACATGTTTTTATTTTGTTCCAGAATGGATTAAATCATGACAGCATCACAGGCGGACACCTGGCCGTAGGCTCAGCAGTGCGCCTAACGCTGACCAGAATGGCCTCAACCCCCGGAGCAACTAACCAAAACCTAGCGATGCTCCTAGGCAACCTGACCCAACCACATCGACGCCTGGAACGAACCCAATCGGCGCCAGCTCCAGGTATAGCGCCACAGGCGGCCATCACAGCCACTACGGTGAACACTTCGCGCTACAAAACGGAACTCTGTAGACCATTCGAGGAATTCGGCGTGTGTAAATACGGAGACAAATGTCAATTCGCCCATGGAATAGCGGAGTTGCGGAACTTGGCCAGACATCCGAAGTACAAAACCGAATTGTGTCGAACCTATCACACTGTTGGGTTTTGTCCCTATGGTCCGAGATGTCATTTTGTGCACAATCAAGAGGAGGCGGCACAAAATAATGCAAAGCCACCGGCAGCAACATCTGGAGGGGCTTTGATGGCAGCGCAAAGGCAACGTCCCGCTGCTTTGAGTCCGGCGCTATCCCTTGACAGTCCTAGTCCGCCGTGCAGTTTGAGTCAGTCGCCTACGTCTTCGATGGGTTCGTTTTTCAGTAGTGATCCTGAACTACATTCGCCTGGACCATTGGACGATCAACGTTTACCGGTATTCAATAGACTATCCACAACTCAACTCCTCTCGCTCAATGACCTGATGTTATAGGTATGATAATCTCAACTGTCTTAAAGATGGTTCAGATGCAAGACCTTTACTCAGAAACGATTTTATTTAAATTTCAGTGTCTTTATTTATATTTACAGATAAATATTCGCCCTCAGATAAAAAAAAAATAAGGGGCGGAGTGATTTTGATATTGTGTGATTTTAAAATATATTAAAATTATTATTATATGTAGTTAGGAGAGGCGTGTTTTTTATAAGAATGTTGATTTATTTTTTTTGTGAATGTGCAAGTTTAGTTTTAGGGTTTTTTTTTTGGATTTTTCGGTCATTGGTCTTGATTTCTTAACATTCCGTGATTGAGTTTAATTTATTATTTTTCATCTTCCCATTTAGTTTTTGTTTTTTTCCTTTTGTGTGCCTTGTGGACCAATGAGAGAATAAGATTTTTTTTGTTATTTAAACCATTATTTAATTTGTGTGTTTCTTATTTTTTTTTCAACGCGTTTATGTTATGTAGTTATTTTATTATAATTTATATGTAACTTATTATTTATATACCTACTTTTGCAATATTTAGATAGCGACAAAATGTGCCCATTAAACAGCACAAGCTGGCGGCCTCTAACCGGAGGGTCCCGCAATACCTGTATATTATTATTATTATTTATATTTTTGTAGCTAATGTATCTCTGTATCATTATCAATAAATTATATTTTGTTCTGTAACTTACCGCTGTTTTCTTTGGACTAAGCCCCAACACATCTAAAATCTACCCACTGGGTATCAAAAGTGTTTTTACCTGCTAATTGATAGCTCAATAAAATAAATGTTTTCCTAGTTTTGGATATTTTTATTGTTTTGTTGTGCAATAAATGTAAAATATTATTACCAATGGGATTGATCAAAATTCAAAGGAAATAACGTAAAGTAATTCACTTTACACACTGGTGCATAAAACCTAATTTACATCTCTTGAAGTATGCGTAAAGTAAGTACTTTACGCACGGTGGTGGGAAGTAGCTATTTATGAAACCAGTGTGTGAGCAAAAATGGGGATTTAGGTACACAAATTTTACATACAAAATATTTTCTACTGAAGTTACTGACAGTATAAATCCATAAATATAATTTTACATTTTTTGAAGAGTCCATGAAGTAAGTTCTTTAAGCACGATAGTAGAAATAGATTAATTAGATTTCTGACGAGGCGCAGCTTGTTTTTGTTATCAGTCATTACAGACGTTTCGAATTATTACTTTATCATTATCATGCCTGAAATTATCAAATATCGATATCCGTAATGAATATGATGATTTTTTTTCAAAAATGTGCTGCCGCCATCCCTTTAAATGAAGGAATCGTATGTCTAGTATCGCCATAATACCAGCAGATGGCGCTGATTAAATTTTTTAGAAGTTACAGTGACTCATTAAACCTTTACATACAGTGACGATTAATGATAATAATAGAATTTTAGAACTCCCGCCGCCATATTCTTGCACATTTTCAATATGAATAGATTGGATTTTAAAGAACCAATCAAAAATAGGACGGCTATCGGCACTGTGGTTTGTTGAGTCACTGTATTTTCAGTTAACACCATTAACACGTGAATTAATCTGCCTATACTCTACCAGCAGATAGCGCTGACTGAATTTTCACAACAATAGAGAAGGGTTTATCGATATTGATAAACCCGATACCTATGCATATTCAAAGGTATCGATACCATATTATTTCAAGTCTCTACTTCTTTTTCATATCGATATTAATACAATAGCTTTGTTTTGGTTCGAAATTTGAAACCGTTAAGATTGCGCACAAAAAATAAAATATAAAAATAATGGAGGACTACCTATTCTAATACTAGTTCTGAACCGATTCGAAGCCAGAAAAACCTAAAATTATTACAAAATTCCAAAACAGTTCCTCTTTCAGAGCAAGAACTGAGAGAACCGTTCTAGAACCATACCAGAAGCGTTTTTATTTAGTTCTAACAATTCTAACTAAACCAAAACGCTTTCAACACACTTCGATTACGATGCTGTGTGTGCATGTGCAGAATAATTCCGAACCAGTTCTGAGTGAAACCAAAACAAAGCTAGAAAATATCGATATATCGATCGAGCTCAATTTTTTTCTATTCCCGGCTATGTAGAATTTGTTGAAATAAAAAAAAAAAGAAGCCTGGAATAGAAAAATATGAATGTCTTTCATTTAAAACCAGGGACCCGGACCGGAACAATATGGAACCGAAAACCAGAACAGAATCGTTTTTTTTTTGCGAACGGAACCGAAACGAAACTCATATTTCATAGAAATTTTGTAAGGCAGGCAGAACCGGAATCGACATAAATTAATTCGTTATTACCGATATTTTTTGGTTTCAAGATTTCGTAATTTGGGGTGTCAACGGTGTCGTTAGCGGTTTGCAAGGCTAATGCACACTACTAAGGATTGCTTATCGGCCTCGTTTTTGGTACCTAATCGCCGTCATATTGGTGTATCACCTTTGTTTGCCGACATCAGGTTTGTTTCTGCAGAAATCACAAACCAGTCACAGCGAATTTCATTGGTTGAAAACAGTCAGAAACAGTCAGAAAACTAGTTTCAACCAATAAAATTCACTCTGACTGGTTTGTGATTTCTGCAGAAACAGAGACCTAAAGTCCGTCGATTTCAATCTGATACTCAGGATACTCTACTCTAAAAAAATGTGAGCCTACGTTAGAACGCCAGTCGTCACCTGACGTCACACCTGTTTTTGCCATAAGTTGTATTCCTTTCAAGTGTTTGAAACACTCGAGCTACTCGCTCCGGTGTTCAGTCGCCCCCGATTTGCAAGGAACAAATGCGTGGTGCAACAAACACTTTTCGAAAGGAATAGGGGCGTGAAGTGTAAAACCCTGGAGCTGTTCCTGAGCTACTCCTAGGTGTGAAAGGAATACAACTATTCACTTCACCCTCTATCGCTCCTCATACGGAAAGTATCAGATTAAAATCGACGGACAATATTATTATCTAAAGCCTAGTACTCATAACTGCGAAATTCGCATTTTTTTGACATTGCGTTGAAAATTTGACGTTTTATGCATGTATCAAACGTCAAATTGTCGAAGCAATGTCAAAAAAATCCGAATTCCGCACCGCAGTTATGCGAGTACTAGGCTAATAAGTCGTCAGCGACGTCAGCTGTTTGCGCCAGTGGTCGTAGTTTAGAATTTAAATTTATGATGAAAAATATTATTTAATTTTGATTAACATATATAGGCAAATAGGAAGATGCAAAACGAGATCTCAAAAATATTTGTTTTAGCATGTTAGTTAATGTACTAAAACCAAGTATGCATAAAGCAAAAGCCCGCGGAATCATAACCCTTAGTGCAATAACAGCATACGTCAAGGCGCAAAAGGACACGCTGCGTACGTTACAACTGGTGATTTGGCGTGGTGGGGGGCTTCAGATTTGTTCCACAGAGGCCTTATGAGGATAGGCTATCCTGAACTCTGTAGTAGTAGTAGTTCGTATTGTCCTTGCTCCCAAGAATCCGGGAATAGTTGTAATCCTTTCACACCTAGGAGGAGCTCCGGAACAGCTCCGGGGTGTTACGCGCTTATTCCTTTAGAAAAGTTTTTGTTGCACCTGAGTACTCAAGCCCGACTCGAAACCAGTAAAATGCATGAAAGCCAGCGCATCTGTTCCTTTCAAATCGGGGTCGACTAACACCGGAGCGAGTAGCTCTAGTGTTTCAAACTCTTGAAAGGAATACAACTTTTCTTTCGATCTGAACAAACTGATTGTAATCACATAAGAGGTGCTTTCTTTTCAGAGCTTTGAAACCCCGGGCTTCGATGCCCTGGAGTGCGTCAGCGCACGTTCTGAAAAGAACGGTAATTGAGGGACATATAAAGTTTGTTTTTTATTTAAAGATAATTTCCCAAGTCAAAATTTTAGTAACTATGTTGGCAACACAAGCCTTTTCTACATAAAAAATTTGAAAGCATTGACAATTTTACATTGTATTGCCAACATAATGTAATTTTGACTTTTATCTTCAGACTTTAATTATCTTACTCTAGTGACAGTTCGGACACTGGAGCTGTGGTGCTTCGACGCCTCGCTGAGGCGCTAGCGGTGGGGATAATCGACCCGATTGAAAAGAACGGTTGACACATTTCAAAATCGAGATCCAGGGGGGCGCCCTTCATTCGAAGGTGGCCATAAACACAAATGTCGCATACAAAATACAAACAATATTTTCCCTACAAGCATGCGCAAAGTAGTAGGTACTTTTCACGGAGTGCGGAAATGTAACTTTGAGCACGGAAATGCGTATGGGAATAGTACTACTTTGAGCACACTCGTAGAAAAAATGTTGTTTGTATTTTGTAGGTATGCGACATTTCTGTTTATGGGTAACTTCGAATGAAGTTGTAGTTATATTCAAAATGGCTTGCATTCCTTGCTGGAATTCAGTGAATTGATATTTATTTTTGTTACAAAATGAATGTTTTTCCAATGGTACTTAACAGCCTAATTTTCACAGCTCAAAGCTGAATTCCAGCAAGGAATGCAAGCCATTTTGAATATAACTACAACTTCATATGATATGATAATCAAATTAGAGAGTTCTCGTGCTGTCCAAATTTCAAATACCGTAACGTTATTTGACAAGTATGACAGTTCTTACGGTATTAGGCAATCTCAATCACGTAATTTTATAATGGCCGTTCGGGTCAAATATTGCGGTGACAAGCCGGTGACGTTTATAAGGAGAGCATTTGTGTTGTGGCCCTTGTTGCTTTCGAAGTGAATTTTATGTATTTCTACGTATTTTTCATTGGTTTTGGTCATATTGTTGTTTTCATAGTGAATTTTATAGTTTTTAGTATGTCTACGTATTGTTTAGTGTTCTGGTCCTTGTTTACAAAGTGAATTTTATAGTGTTTATAATGTTTCTACGTATTTTTTTTAATTTAATAATAAATTCTGAGATGGAGAGTGAATATCTTAAGGTATTATTAAGGGAAAATCGAGCCTCTGTTATATCCTTTCTTTTAATTGCAGCAGTCCATAAAGCCCTGCGTTGTTTTGATAATTCACTTTTGTAGATCAAAAGCCGATGATTTAAAATAGCAGGAACTGAATAAAATTTCACATATCCCTGTTACCTCGACTTCCGCACCCATTTACGATGCAAATCGCTGGCATTTCAATTAACACAATACCTAAACACACAAAAAAACACAAAATCCGATAAATTAAATCTTGACGTTTGTCCAGAATGTGACAGAATCAATGACATATAGAATAAACAACACAGTGCTTGACCCGAACTTCCATATTGAATTTCGTTTTTGACAGGTCAGTAGATTGCCTAATTAGCGTTAGCGGAGCACACTACGTAACGTGAGTTAGCGGATGCCTTCGTAACGCTATATGCTATGTCAAAATTGGTTTACGCTCCATTTACATCTTCAAGAACAGCAACTTCTAATAATCCCTCCATAAAAAACACCAAGGAAAAATGGATCAAACTCAGAATCTTCAGGATAAATAATAAAATAAAGTTTTTTTTTTTTTTTAAATAATTCCCCAAGTCAAAAATTTAGTAACTATGTTGGCAACACAAGCCTTTTCTACATAAAAAATTTTAAAGCATTGACAATTTTACATGGTATTGCCAACATAATGTCAATTTGACTTTTATCTTTAAAAAAAAAAACACACTTTAGAAAACAAGCAAAAAAAAGTTGGCTTAGATCACTCAACCCAGCAGTCAGCTGTCAAATTGTAAACAGAATAAGGGATTAGAGGATTTTTGTGTCTTCGTGTCCAATTCCAATTAATTTCTTTATTTCCAATATTTACAAATTACTTAAGCTACCTTAACCTAATTACCTTATAAATTTCAACATAAATAGACAATTAACTACATAAATATAAATAATATTTACAATACATAGATCTATTCACATTGGCCTCCAACCAGGTACAAATTAGGGGTAGTAGCGACAGCCAAGCTGATCTGAAACTTTACTGAGGCATTAATGCCCCTTATAGCTCAATTCTAGTTTCGACTTTTGTTCGTGTTCCTGTACTTTTATTTTTTAGTCAGTCATTCCGTATTTGCCCTGTCATTGATAAAGGGAAAAATTATCAAAAACCCTTTTTCCCGTTTCTTTGGTGTGTGTAAACATCACAGCGCTAAGGCGCTTGTATCAGGACAGCAGAGAGTAATTTACGGTTCCTTGGCTCCATTCGAGCCGCGTCCTATTCTCGCTTCATGACCAATTGCGGGCACCCGGTGAAATCCGGTGCACTAGTGGTCGGCTGATAAGGTGATAGTGTGAGCTTTGGTGATAGTTTTGGAGCTGCCGTCCGTTAAATTTAGCGTGAAGCTAGTATATTGGTAGTCGGTGGTGTATGGGCCGATGTGTTGCGGGATTTTAAGGGTTGAATTTGAGGGAGGCAAGATTTTTGGTTATGTCAGGTCCTTGCGCTGTCTCCCGGAAAAATTTCAACGAAACTTCGTTGAAATATTCCAGGATGGTGTCTAATTCCGCCAGTCTGTGTACTTTCACTGTCCTTGTATCCCAGGGCAGTGAAAGGGCGGTCTTGAGCACCCTGTTTTGGTACCGTTGAAGTTTAAGTTTTTGGGTGTTGCAGATGTAATTCCAGGCGGGTGCCCCATACAGCAGGGTTGGCCTGATGATTTGTTTGTAGATGACAACACGGTTTTCGGGACTGAGGAAGGAGTTTGGCTTCATTATAGGGGTAAGGAGTCTTTCGGCGGCATGGCCTTTTTTGATAGAGTGTGCTACCTGCGGGTAGCCCCGGAGCGTTTTGTCCAGGACTATCCCCAGGTATTTTGCCGTGTCTTCGTGTCCGAGAACTATCAAATACCATGTAAAATACCGTATTGTTAGCGGTACCGTATTAACCTAGCGTTTGAGGCACGAGAAACGAGAACTCTCTAATACCACGTAAAATACCGTATTGTTAGCAGTACCAGATTAGCGTAGCGTATGGGGCACGAGAACTCTCTATTATCTGGCCTGTGTAAATAGATGGTTTTTAGTCAGCACTGTCTGGACAGTGCAGTAGTCACTCCTGGACAGTGCAGTAGTCACTTCTGGACAGTGCAGTAGTCACTCCCTTCAATCAAACCAAACTTTCAAAGTCAATTAAAGGTTACAGTAGTATAGCAAAATATTCAAAAATTTCCATTTCTAAATTCTCGGTACTCGCTTAAAACTGTGTAAAAGCCCCACAAAGTGGCACCCCAAAAACAAGCAAAATGTTCCTAGCGTCGACCCTGACTGATTTGAGCAAGTTACCGAAGCCCGAAATGCACAAATTCCTCGAATCAATCGATACTATCTTGTTCGATTGCGATGGGGTGCTTTGGCTCGAAAACGAAGACATTCCCGGGTCTGTCGAGACTGTTAACAGACTCAGGGATATGGGTAAGAAAATTATGTTTGTTACCAACAATTCGACCAAAATGAGGGAGGATTTTGTCATTAAAGCTAGGAAAATGAATTTTATCATCGACAAGGTAAGAATTTAAACACGAAAATTGATTGTATGCAATTTTATTTATTTAGGATGAAATTGTTTCAACATCATTCTTGGTAGCTTCCTACTTGAAAAACCTTGGATTCAGTAAAAAAGCTTATGTAGTAGGTTCTAGAGGAATAGCAAATGAACTAGACGCTGTAGGAATTAGACACACAGGAGTTGGACCTGATGTACTAAACTCTGTTACTGTAACCCTAGAAAATTTTCAACCTGATCCAGACATTGGAGCGGTGATTGTCGGTTTTGATGAGCACTTCTCATTCAACAAAATGATTAAAGCCTGCACATATTTAAACAACCATAATGTGATATTCATAGCTACCAATACTGATGAAAGATTTCCTGTGGGTGGTGATATTGTAGTACCAGGTACTGGTTCAATACTAAAAGCCATTGAAACTGGTGCCCTGAGAGAACCTATTGTACTAGGGAAACCACATTCTTATATGGCTGATTGTTTAATTAAGGAACATGGTATTGATCCCAGTAGAACTTTGATGGTTGGTGATAGGTAAGAACCTTTATTCCAACAAAGTGCTTTGTTATAATCTTGAACCAATTTTAGATGTAACACTGATATTTTATTGGGCACAAGGTGCGGATTTCAAACTCTGCTGGTACTAACAGGAGTTACCAGATTAGAACAAGTAACTAAATGGAAAAATTCTGGCTTGAAAGAGGACAAAGATTTGGTGCCAGATGTGTATTTGTCGAAGTTAGGTGATCTATTAAAACTAATAGAATAAATTTAATTTGTATAGAAAAGTCCTTAAATCAATTTTTTAATTTATTGTTTACTGCCAGCATTTACTTATATTTTATCAGGAATAAAACAAATTTATTTTATTAAACATGGAATATTTAATATAATATAAAGATCTTTGCTACAAGCTATCAAAAAGTACATAGCAGCAAGCTACATACATAGTGGACACTGAACCTATTTACTCAAAAACTGTACATGGAATCATTTTTGTGCAATGATAACTTTTAATCAGAGTGTCAAAATCTACTGCATTCCAAAAATTCAGCCAATTTAACAAAAAGCCATTTTCCATAAGTGCAAGATCTGAGGTCAAAATATTGTTCATTCCAAATCCAAAAATATAATTTGTAACATTCTTGGCATGCGTGCGTGGCCTATCAATTCTGCAATATATGGGATGAATTTATCTTCCAAATAGAATAAGCTTAGGAAGGTATAAAGTCTTATAAAATCTAACATTATAAATAAATAAATAAAATAGTTATTTAAGTCTTCAAAAATCTAATATACAAATGGAATTAAAGCCTTTCTTTTGCTTGGGAAGTCTTCAAACTTCTCCTTGTACCACCAATGAGATAATAAAATTGTCTCAATCTAAAAATCATACAACGCCATCAAAGAAACATCCTACCAATAATTGAAATTCTTACCTGATTAGCAAGAACCCAAGTAAAAATAAAAAACCAAGTAACATTGTTCCACAAAATCCACATTATCGAACTGTACATCAATATTTCTGTTGTCTGATGAGGACAGGTCAGGTACTCAAACCAATCACCTTTAGGTAACTTATAGTCGCTACTCACAATTTCGCCTTTTTTATTTTTCCTTAGATCAGCTAATATTTTATTACATTTAAACTGGTGCCACCAAGCGAATAAAAACATAATAATCGCCCCTATATCTGACCAGGATGTGGCCAGCAAATTGAGTGGGGCATCTCGAAATTCAGCTAAAATTTGACTATGCATTGTATTTGTTAAAAACAACTAGAGATTTTTACCAGGTGCATTAGTAAATAGAGGTGCTTCACAAAGTATTGCTAATATGGTACCAGGATAGTGAACATGTCCAACTGCGTAATGAGACAAATTCATTTTGCTTCTAGAACCAAAAACTGAAACTTTATGAGTGTCGTAAAACCTGCGATAAACCTGCAGAGTCATTAGAATTACTGCAATAAACACTTGATGCTTGAAGGCTAGAATAAATAGTTTTGTTAGCAAATTTTATTGAAAAACTGTACACGAAACTTACTATACGAGTACCGCTCTTTTCCACAAACAAAATCCAAGAAGTACTTAACGTGATCAGGTACTTTCATGTCGCAAACATAAACCATAGTTACAAGCCATAGTAAATATGAATATTCCAAAAAGGCCACGGAATAAAAGTGTTTGAACCAAGACTTGGGTACCTCGATGATTAAGTTAGACTTACTTACCGCACTGAATTTACCGTAGCGGAAGAGTTGAATCAAATCGTGGGGTAATTTTGATTCTAATAAGTTAATAATGCTGGAGTAAATGATCATTACCGCAGTCATAAGACAGAAAAGTATTTGGATTAAATTCATCTTTGATTGACATCAGACGATTTGAAAGTACTAGCGATGAATGAGGAGAAACTGGAGAAAGTTATATTTACTTGTATGTAATTAATTATTGTAGCATGGGGGGCAAACTGAGAAGCAAAAATTTAAATTTAAAATCCAAAAATGTAAACAAGTTATTGAGGTTATGTTGTAGTAGAGGAGGGCTTATCGATACGTCCTCGATAAAGATGTATATCGATAAAAAAATTTCATATCGATATGTATCAAAAAGCAAATCTTTAAGCAGGTACCCGGACCGAAATGAAATATCGGTTCTATTCCGGTTCCGGTCCACAGCGTCATATCGGTTTCGTTACAGTTCTGGTTTTAACGGTTCATACCGGTATAGTTTTTCGCAAGTATCTAACAGAAAAATGTATGTTTCTGTAATTTGTGGTTTATTTTTTATTTGATTTCTCTGTCTATCTGCAAGAAATTTAATAATTATAAATCTTATTATTATTAATAATTTTTATTTTTAACCATATATGAAATGTTGTCATTACTGACTTTTCAAAAATTTGAAAATGTCACATTTCTGTCTTTTCATTTTCCTGCTCCATTACCTGTCCCAGGACGGGAAGTGAGGACGGGAAATTTTTTCCGTCCTCATTTCCCGTCCACGGACGGAAAATGGAGCAGGAAAATATTTCCCGTTCTCATTTTCCTCTTCATTTGCCGACCTCATTTGGTTGCCCCGATTTTTTTTTTCAAGAAATTATGGTTAAAAATAAAATAGTTTACAACCCTCGACGGGAAACTTCATTGCTGTCTCGAGGTTCAGTTTATAAAACCTAACTATAAAACCTCTCGACCAGTAATGAAGCATTTCCCGTCTCGGATTGTAATATACTATTTGTGTTAATAAATATCCATTAAAAATCTCAATCCCTCTACCACTCTACCAGGTCAAATTATCAGTGATGACGTAGACAGCGTGTCGTTTTTTGCTTTGACGTAGGGTGCTTGTAAGGATAATACACACTACTACTACACGATAGCCTATCCTCATAAGGCCTGTGTGGAACAAATCCCCCCCTTCCAACCTCACACCAAATCACCAGTTGTGACGTAGGCAACACGTTATTTCTTGTCTTGACACTCAATCCAATGATTCTTTGGAAAATCTTCCTAGTTCCTGTTCTTAGAGCCAATCAAGAGCCGGTAATAGTCAAACTTTGAACTTTTATCAACTCTGGATTTGCTAGAGAATTTTTCTTAAGGGCATTCAAATCAGAGCTGAATAATAATCTAAATTCCGAATGATCATTAGCAGCGCCTAAGTTGATATTAATCAAAATTTGCCCTTCTGCAGCTTCCAATTGGCTCAAGAAAAATCATCCAATGGATCAAGATCCACAGATAATCAAAATTTGAACTATTACCAGCTCTCGATTCCCTGGAAAACTTTCCTGGAGCCAATCAAGAGCCGGTAATAGTCAAAATTTGAACTTTTATCTATTCTGGATTCGTTAGAGAATTTTTCTAAGGGCATTTAAAGCTTAAGAGCCGATAATAGTCTAAATTTTGAATGATCATTAGCAGCTCTTAAGTTGATATTAATCAAAATTTGTCCTTCTGCAGCTTCTAATTGGTTCAAAAAAATTTTCCAATGGATCAATATATCCACAGATAACCAAATTTGGACTATTACCGGCTTTTGATTACCTGGAAAACTTTCCTGGAGCCAATCAAGAGCTGGTAATAGTCAAAATTCGAACTTTTATCTACTCTGGATTCGCTAGAGAATTTTTCTAAGCGCATTCAAAGCTTAAGAGCCGATAATAATCAAAATTTCGAATGATCATTAGCAGCTCTTAAGTTGATATTAATCAAAATTTCTTCTTCCACAACTTCTAATTGGCCCATCCAATGGATTAAGAGTCACAGATAATCAAAATTTGAGCTACATATTACCAGCTCTTGATTCTCTGGAAAACTTTCCTGTAGCCAATCAAGAGCCAGTAATAGGCAAAATTTGAACTTTTTCAACTCTGGATTCACTAGAGAATTTTTCTAAGGGCATTCAAAGCTTAAGAACCGATGATAATCAAAAGCCCCACTGGGTTTCTGTCAATATTGATGGTGTGGGGTGAACAAAAAAGAATATATTTCAAGAAGACAAAATTAAAAAATGTGAAAATTGGGTACCTACCAAAAAAATCAAATAAAATTATAACTATTTATTATTACAATTTACAATTATGTGGCCACCTAGGAAAAGGTATACTATCTCTAACTGTATCAATTCCCAAAACAAACTGAAGAAATCTTTCAAACCCCAAACCGAACCCTCCTGTAGGTACGCAGCCGAATCGCCGTAAATCCAAATACCAATCCAGCTGTGAATTATTATTGGCCAATCTGCTTTTTAATTTATCATAGTTGTCTTCGCGTAAACTGCCTCCAGCAATTTCACCAATTTGTGGCGCCAGTAGATCGAATGCTGCAACATTTTCATTGTCAATTTCTTTCATGTAGAATGGTTTTTGATTTTTAGGCCAGTTTATTACAAAGACTGGCACTTGGTCAAAATACTCAGTCAAAGCTAATTCATGTTCTTTTACAATATCTCCTTTAACTGTTTTATTTAATTTATTACTTAAAATATTTAGAGCTTCTTTATATGATATTTTTATAAATGGTTTATCAATCCATTTGTGACTGACTTTATTTTGTGTGCACATACCAATATCATCTGAATATTTTTGCAATAAATTGCTGGTTACACTTTTAATAAGATCTTCAACAATAATCAAAAGATCATCTAAGTTACTTAGAAAAGCTTGCTCAAGTTCAAGCATATAAAATTCAGATAAATGGAATCTTGATTTTGAGTTTTCTGCTCTAAAGGTTGGTCCAAAGCAATATACTTTGTTTAGGGCTTGAGCTGCAGCTTCCAAATGCAATTGCCCAGACACAGTTAAATAGGCTTTTGTATCAAAATATACTAATTCTGAAGCTTGATTTTCCTTTGCCATTGATTTTAATAACTTTTCATTGTCTGGTAAAACTTTAAAAATTTCCCCAGCTCCTTCGCAATCGTTTGAAGTCATTATTGGTGTGTGAATATTGAAATAACCTTTTTCATCTAAATAGTTGTGGATTGAAATATTGGCAGCATGTCTTAGTCTAAGTAAAGAAGCAAATTTTCTTGTTCTAGGACGAAAATGTAAATGTTCTCTTATATATTCTGGTTCGTATTGTTTCCTAGGTGCAAATGGGTACCCTTTGGCTAAGTCGCACTCGCCAATTAGTACCATATTTTCAGCAGAAACTTCATTTTGCCCTTTGGGCGACTGTTTTAGTACACCAGAGGTGCTTATGGATGAACCAACACTTATTTTTGAATCTGATTTTTGTGTTAACACTATTTGCAAGTTTGTAGGAGTCGAACCGTCGTTGATGTCGATAAAGGTGACTTCTTTTTGCTTCCTAAGGGATTTTATCCAGCCCTAAGTGAGAATTTAAGTACAAATAAAAGCGATTTGGAGGGTATTTGTTTTTGCTTGCTTACCTGCACAGAAATAGTTTCCCCTATTTGACCGGTTTTGATGATATCGATGATGCTTCGTGAATAGCTATAATTTCTGTGTGAAATTAATAAGCGGTTCAAAAGTCTTTTGTACATTTTTAAATTTTAAATTTCTTGACTTCTTTTTTTAAGGTTATTTTTCATTTAGAAAGGAGGGCGTATCGATACGATATATCGATATATACATCGATTCGCATTCCACCGCAAGCCAGTATATGACAATTATGACAAATGGAAAAAGAAAAAAGATGTTTGAAAGCTAAACAGCTGACTGAGGGACTTTGTTTGGTAATTTTTAAATTTCTGTTTAAATATAAATTAAAATAATGTCCTTAGTTAAACAAATACTTAAAATTGTAACTACTAATCACAAATATAATACCTATCATACTTTAAACAAATCCCACACGAAATTGACTAGATTATCTCAAAACTATATTTCCCAAAGATTCAATCCGAACGTTTGCTGGAAATGTGGTTTAGAAAGGAAAAACTTGCTTAGCGTATTCTGTAGTGAATGTTACGTGATACAAAATCCACAAGAGACCGAAAATTATTTTAGATTACTTAATTTGGACGAGAAATTCGATATCGATACAAAAGAGTTGAGGAATAAATACAGGGCCTTGCAAAGTCACTTGCATCCTGATAAATTCACCAATAAAAGCAAGGAAGAACAATCGATATCTGCAAATTATTCCTCTTTGGTTAATAAAGCATATAGTAACTTACAAGTGCCATTGAAAAGGGCAGAACATTTATTACAATTAAAAGGTGATAAATTAGGAGAGGAACAAACTTTAGATGACCCAGAATTCTTAATGGAAATGATGGAATTGAATGAAGAACTAGATAATATAAGCGATATAGAAGAACTAAAGAAGTTTAATATTAAAAACAAAAATCAATTGGAAATTATTGCAAAAAGTATTGATGAGTGTTTTAGGAAAAATGATTTAAAACAAGCTAAAGCTTTTGTAATAAAAATGAAATATTATTCCAGCTTAGGAAATAGGATAAATGGTTTATTAAGAGAAAAAGGAGTTGTTGATTAATTATCTAATATAATAATTATATGCTATTATCACAGTTTCATTCAATTCAATACCTACTTCCTACCAATCGTCTTGTTTTAATTTATAAGTGAAATTATCACTTAAAATCACCTCAACTCGGGCACCGTAATATGGAATAATGTAAGCGGAACCATCTGCAGGTCCCACTACTTGTGTTGAGATTAAAATAACATCGACAAGTTGTCCCAGGAACATAAATCCAAGAGTGCAAAATTTGGCTAGCCCTATGGCAGGGTAACCCAAATAAAATCTGTCTATACCGAACATCCCTAGGAATATGGAGAGCAGCATTGCTGTATCAAAATGATAGCCATTCCTAAAATATATAGGTATTTTTATTTTTTAGAACAAATAGGAATGGATCACAAAATCTTAGTCAGTAGGATAGTATTTTTAGAGCCAAATATGTTGGAAATGCCTCAATACTTACGTCCATTGGCAATCTACTTCTCTAGTAAAAGTTCGGTTTTGTGTTTCCTGGCAAATGAGGCCCTCCACCACCAAACAAGGCACTAAAATTAAATCAATCAAACTAATTAATCTATATATAGTCTAAAAATGTACATTTTGCTTTGTTTTCCTTCGTACAGCCGCGAATTTGTTGAGTTTTGGGATCCACCAAGTTGTATGAAGGATCCGGACAGAGATATTGCCCCATTCTTAGATTATTGCAATCTATTAACTTGGGTGTAATTAATTCGTGACTGACATCTTCTCCATAGTTTGTAGGAGTTAACGATAAACAAATTAATAGTACAAAAATTGGTTTATTCATTTATAAATCACTTTCCTTCAAACGTTTTTGAATAATTTATTTATATAAAATATCAGCAAACAAACTATTTAAACAAATGTAAACAATGGAAATGAGGTTATGATGTCATCGATTGTCGATCAGTGACTAGTCGATGCTAGTTTAGTATTATAAAAATTCCCTAGATGGCGCCTGAAAAGTGTCTCGCTACAGTGACTCTATTTGGTTCTAAAATCCCAAATCCCATATATTTATATTGAAAACGCCGCCATCTTGTTCCCAACCGCTTGTTACTTTTAAATATGAATATATGGGATTTAGGTGAACATCCATCATAAAACATGGAAAACAACGTATTTGATGGACTTTAATAATTGGTCATCAAATACGTCAATTTCAATGTTTTATAATAGATGTCCATTTAAATCCTATATATTAATATTTAAAAGTAACAAGAGGTTGGGAACAAGATGGCGACGGGACCTCTATATATTGTCTCCACTGTATGTAAAGGTTTATTTAGCCACTGTAGTCTCGCGATCACTCTCTCCTGATCCTACAGCAAATCTCAACAATGGCAGGTACCCTAGGTTACAGTGACTCTATAACCCACAGTGGCGACAATTGCTGTCTTATTTTTGATTGGTTCAAAAATCCCATATATTTATATTGAAAACGCCGCCATCTTGTTCCCAACCCCTTGTTACTTTTAAATATGAATATATGGTATTTAGGTGAACATCCATCAAAATCATGGAAAACAACGTATTTGATGGACCTAATAATGGTCATCAAATACGTCGATTCCAATTTTTTATGATAGATGTCCATTTAAATCCTTTATATTAATATTTAAAAGTAACAAGAGGTTGGGAACAAGATGGCGGCGGGACCTCTATTGTCGCCACTGTATGTAAAGGTTTATTTAGCCACTGTACCCTAGGTGGGCGTGAAATTGCTCAGGCTCATTTAGCTAAATTACCACCTTTTTGGAAAGAACACCCAACACTTTGGTTTTCGCAGGTTGCCGACACTACTAAATTTCATTACATTGTGGCTAACTTAAACACGGAACCATTACCTTTTGTCTCTGACATAATTACAAATCCACCTTCTCAAGATAAATATGATACTCTCGAAGAGCGTTTGATTAATTCCTTCTCTGAGACTAATGAGTCCAACCAAACTACGTCGAATGTTCAGAGGCGTCGATTTTTTCGACGAGAAACCATCAAATTTCCTCCAACCTCCAACGTCTCCGAAATTTGTCTGGCAACCAAGTGACACTGTCCTACGTACCTTGTTCTTGGTCTTGGAACACCTGCCTGAACAAGTTGAAGGCATCCTGTCCATCAGTGAGGTAGCGGATCTCACACGCTTAGCCCTGCAGGCCGATAAGATTATGGAAGTCACAAAGCCTACTATACTTGCCATCGACAAATATTCCAGTTCCAGAGTGCCTCAACAACAGCATCTAAGCAATCAATCTCCAATAATAGTGACCCGTCGGTTACTCTGGAAAACCTCACAGCCCAAATTGATGCCCTAACAAAAAACTTTGAACATCTAGATCAGCATGTCAGAGGCAGAGACCAGTCCAGACACAGAGCACGTTCACGGGAGAGAACATATTCCAGAAATCGTGATGAAGATGAATATTTTTTTTATCACCAGCGATTTGGTGCCAAAGCACGCAGCTGTCGTAGTCCTTGCTCCTTCAAGGATAAGCAATATCGTCAGTCGTCAAACTAGAGAGGTCTTGGGCGATAGCAAGCGTCTCCGAAGGCTACAATACAGCGTCCCGCTTGCAAATTCAAGACAAGTTCACCAGACTGCTATTTCTGGTGGACACAGGTGCCGATATTTCGGTTTTGCCCAAGAATCCAAGAATAATCTCAAGTCTTCTGTCAAAACTGCAAAACCAGAAACAAACATGAAGCTTTACGCAGTAAATGGCTCGACAATCGATACCTTCGGAACTACCACGCTGACACTCAATCTGGTATTGAGACGCCCATATACCTAGACCTTCATTGTTGCTGAAGTCACTCATCCAATACTTGGCGCTGACTTCCTCAGATACCATGGCCTGCTGGTAGATCTTCAGAGGAAACGACTTCTTGATGCCAAAACAGAGCAGTCTAAGGGTAGTACAACTTGTACACTCTTTCACAACCTACAGTTTGTACGGTGAGTTGGCAGCACCCTTTCTTTCACCTTTTGAAGGAATTTCCTGAAGTAACAAGGCCAGTAGGATGCAAAGTACCAATTCATGGACTCCAACATCATATTATGACCCAGGGTCCGCCAGTTGCGGAAAGAGCTCGACGGCTTACTGGCGACAAGCTGCAGGCTGCAAAGGCAGAGTTTAAATTAATGATGGAACAACAACTGTGTGAACCTTCAAACAGTCCATGGGCCAGCCCATTGCACCTTGTTCCAAAAAAATGTGGTGGTTGGCGCGCATGTGGAGTCTACCGGCGTTTGAACAAGGTCACAATTCCTAATCTATACCCAATTCCACATCTGCGAGATTTCACTTTTCAACTTTATGGATGCAACATCTTCTCCACATTAGATCTGTCTCGAGCCTATCATCAGATTCCTTTGGCACCTGAAGATCGACCTAAAACTGCAGTCATAATACCTTTTGGACTCTTCGAGTTCAAGGTGATGACTTTTGGTCTTTGTAACGCGGCTCAGTCTTTCCAGAGAATGATGGACTCGATCTTTCGAGGACTTGATTTTTGCCATGTTTACATCGATGACATTCTAATTGCCTAAAGTCTTCAACTGAACATGAGGCACATCTAGGGTTACCAACCGTCCTGCATTTCGGTGGACGTCCACCATTTGGGGTTCCTTGTCCGGTGTCCTGTAACAACCTATTGCAGGACGCCTATTGTACTTAATTTTTAACTTGATGAAGAATTCTGTCAAATTAAGCCGGCTATAAACTTGATTCTGGTTTATGAGGAAAATCATACATTACTTGAAAAGGGGATGAAAAATTTCTGGAACATTTTGCAACTTGTATTTTCTATATTTGGGCCCAAAGATAACGCTGAAAAGATTTTTTCAATGCGTTCAGCTTTGTGGACTGATGCGCGTTGATCGATTGTGCATTGAACACATCAAGGCAGAACTGCAGATAAATTATTAGTTCCTATTTACACAAAGAATTCTTTGGACAGTTTTTTTTAGTGTGTCAGTAGGTAAGTTTTTTTTTGTCCAAGCTCGAATACCACTTCATTGCAGTTGAAAGAACTAAGAGTTGACAACACCGAAACGACTATCTTCTGCGACGTTGCAGGAGATCGTGTCCGCCCCTACATTCCGTGGTACTACGACGACACATCTTTGACAACGTGCACAACTTGTCACATCCTAACGGAAGAACAACTAAGAAGCAGATTCAAGAGCGTTTCGTCTGGCCACACATGAACAGAGACATCATACAATGGGCACGGACCTGTGTCCGCTGAAGATTGATATTCCAAGTGAACGCTTCAATCATGTTCAAATGGACATTGTCATTATGCCACCATGCCAAGGTTACAGCTACTGCATGACCATGATCGACCGATTCACACGTTGGCCAGAAGCTATTCCCCTAAAAGATATCTCAGCAGACACCATTGTCAACAGCTTCTTCAACGGATGGGTCAGCCTTAGATTCAATGCTTTGGCGAAACTCATTGGAAGCAACCGTACCCGAACCACGGCTTACCATCCTGCTTCGAATGGTATGATTGAACGTTGGCATAGATCATTCAAATCAGCAATCAGGTGTCAAGCTTCAAGTAACTCGATCGATACCTTGCCAGCTGTACTGCTGGGACTGCGAGCTAGCATCAAAGAGGACCTTAAAGCCAGTGTAGCTGAAATGCTTTATGGTACAACACTTCGATTGCCAGGCGAATACTTCATCTTCATCGACGAGGAGGTTGGTCCTGAACCTCAAATGTTCATCGAAAAATTTCGGGTGATGATGAGAATCCAGCGCTCAGCCCCAGCCGCGCACCACTGCAGAGTTCGACCTTTCGCTCACAAAACTCTACACAGCATCACTAGCTCTTGTCCTATTATATGAATTTTATTGTCAAATATTTGTCAAACTATGCATTAAATGCATTGAAATGAATGACCCTGTGGAATGACCAATGAATAACCTTAGAATTAGTCCAGGAGATTATTATGCATTATTTGTGTCCCAGTTACTTTTGGTGACGATGGTACATATCCTCCAGCCAAGTCCAAAAGAGTTCAATTCGTGGCTACTCATACTTCGCGCCACTCACTACTCAGGGGGGGCTACCTGAGGGCACTCACTTATAGTTGTCCGATAGGATTTTAGGATTTCAGATTTTTAGGTTTTTAGGAAAAATTCCTGTCACGCATGTCAGATGAAAGCGGAAGGTGGATTCAAGACAGGTCGGGGATTCTAAAATCACGATTCGACATACGACTCGACAGCGAGACGATTTTTCCGACGATTCTAGGTTAGAAATCTCATTGGAATTATACCTTTCGACACGACAAGGCCGGTAGCGTTGTCGAGTCGTGTGTCGAATCGTGATTTTAGAATCTCGGCCCAAGCATTGATGACGTTAGCAGTTTTTCGGCTGCCATAATTTAGTAGTATTCTCATGCTTTTATTTCAAGTTTTAAGTTTTAATAAAATAAAAGTGCCGCAATATTACACTGCAGTTCTCATTTGTTCTGCCCGAAGCTGTGGCCCGATAGACGCCACACCAACCCCTCTGAAGTACTGAACCCCTAGAAGCAGTACTTCATGACAGACACAATCGCAAGCTTTTTTTAGGTCACAAAAAACTACCGCGGCCACTTCGTCATTTATCTTCTAATACCTCTCATCTAGGAGATGAAATATGGTATCATCAGTGTTTTTTGACTGCTAAAACAGAGACAGAGAAAGCAATTTCTGTCTATCAAGGAAGCTCACCATCCACCTTAATTAGCCACTCTACAATTTTAGTCAAAGTTGGCAGTAAGGATATTGGCCGGTAATAAGATGGTAAATTCTTATCACCCCCCTATTAAACAAAGGTACTACCCAAGATTGCTGCAAAAATGAGAGAAAACTTCCGGTAAGAAAAGAAT